TAGACCAACAGCTATGGAGCTGGCATTGGACCAACCTAGGCCCTCTGCATCTGGGTGACAATTGTGTAGCTTGGTCTTTTGTGGGGCTCCTAGCAGCGAAAGCAGGACCTGCCCCTGATGCATAAGCTGGCTCTTTAGAACTTATTCCCTATGGTGGGATGCCTTGTTCAGCCTTGATGCGGCTGGGAGGGGAGAGCTTGGTCCTGCTGCAACTTGATATGCCAATTCTTGTTGATTCTCAAGGGAGACCTACCCCATTTAAATGGAGAGGGAGGAGGGGTGAACAGGAGGGTAGGAGGGAGGTGTGGAAGGGAATGGGGTGGGGAGGGGAGGGAGGGGAAACTGTGGTTGGTATGTAAAATAAAATAAGAAAGAAAACATATATGTATACATAAAAAAAAATAATAGCCGGGCAGTGGTGGCACACGCCTTTAATCCCAGCACTCGGGAAGCAGAAGCAGAGGCATTCAGATCTCTGTGAGTTTGAGGCCAGCCTGGTCTCCAAAGTGAGTTCCCGGAAAGGCACAAAGCTACACACAGAATCCCTGTGGCGAAAAACCAAAATAATAATAATAATAATAATAATAATAATAATAATAATAGTAATAATAATAATAATACCACTAATTTTAGAGGGAGTGAGGGGGACTTGTGAGGGACTCAATAGGGAAGGGGGGAAGTAATGTAAGTATATTTTAATCTAAAACTTTCAATCAAAAAATTGAAGTTAAAAATTGAAAAAAACAAAACAAAACAAACAAACAAACAAACAAACAAACAAAAAACTACCCTTCATCCACGTGCTTTCAGAAGCCAGGAGAAAATTGCTACTGTTCACAAGCACTCAGGATGTCCAAGTCACTTTCTCCATGCTTCAGACTCTCACATTAATGGAGAAGCCATGCAAGGGTAGAACAGTCACCAGACTCATAAAACCATCCTTACTGACAGCCAGAAAACCCAGAGCAAGCAGGAAGGGTACAATCTCTGCCCAGGTCCTTTGGCTCTAATAGCTCTCAGGCTGGACTGGAGAGAGACCTGTGTGTCACCCACAGCTATAAATTCAGAAAACTTAGAGGTCACTGAAGGACAGCAGCATTTGTTGGCTCCTGCCCTGCTAGTGGTTGTGATATAAAGTATGAGAACCTCATACTTTACCAGAATACTCTTTTTTCCCTATTATTACTGGCACACAACTTAAGGGGCTCCAGTGGTGATGAAGTACAGTGATGGTATAGAAATCTCATTAATTCATCTGTGACTCCTTCCCCAGTCAGAGTGAAAGCACAGGGTCCCCAGCAAAGCAGGTACAACCTTGTCAGTTCCTGACTCTGCCAAACTAACCATCATGGATCCTTGATCTGGGTCTGCTCTTTAGGAACCCAGAGCAGGATAGGTCTATTAGTCCCCAGAAGGTCCTGAGCCCTAGCCCTTGAAGGCTCAATCCCAACCACATCCAGAAAGCCCCCCCCCCCAACCACTTCCCTGAACTCACTGCATCTTCCCCAAACCATTAATTTCTCCATGTTTTACAGTGAGACGTAGGCCCAGCTTCCTTCTACCTCTCTCTGGTTTTGCCACACTGTCCATTCTCTCTCCCAAGTAGATCCCTCAGTCTTGACAACATGTCTATGCATGAAATTTATAGGCACTGAATGAATGTCTTAAGGGCACTTGATGTTGCTACAACACTAGTGACATCACAGAAGTTGCCAAGGGCTCTGCTCTTTGGGATACAATAGAATGCCCAGAGAAGGGACTGCTGATATCATAGGGAATAGCCTTTGCCTTTCTGCCAATTATTTCTCCCTAAAATGACCTGAAGACTCTCCTGGGACAAATGGAAAAACAATTCAGCACCTCCTCCTTCAAAAGACAGAAATCTAGCTCTCTGCTACATTAGAAACGTATTATCTATGGGGAGTTGACTCACTTTCCAAACACTGTCCAAGAATGGCTCTTTACCATCCTAATATCCACACTCAGTAAGATGAGGAAATAAAGGATAATGGAAAACTTGGTCAGGGTTATAGGGTGAAGGAAAGAAAGATGAGTCCTCTGAAGTGAACAAGCACCTGGGGAAGGTCCTGTGACTGTTAACATTCTGAATGAGTTTCAGAACAAAGAGAAATTGTATATGCAGTGATGTCATTTACTCTCAGAGCCTCAAAATCATTTGTTTCAGCCAAAAGACTGTTAGTGAAGATATGATAAGCTGTTCACAGGTCAGGCTGGGGACACCTGAGCACTGGGTCGGTAGGTGGTCCCTCAGACAAAAGTAAACACTCTAGAAAGAACATGAAGGCCCAAACCTGGAATTGGAAGGCTGACAAAAAAGCAATGGGAAGTAAGAGGTCAGCCTGTACTATGTAGAGGCATCATGTGTGGAAAAAAACATACATGCGTGTACACACACACACACACACACACACACACACACACACACACACACACACAAAGCACATAGCCATAGGGTAGAACATGTAGATCACTGCTAAGGTGCTTCAACCAGCAAACAAAAGCCTAATTCCTTGGTCTAGAGTTGCATGTGACAATTCACATGTTCTAGAAAAGGTGGCTCTACTAGATTTGGTTATGATATCCTAATGCTTAGAATATGAAAAGATCAGGCAATGGGAGAGACTTAGGGTTCGTGTACCATACTGATTTATTAAAGCCTCACCTCTCTGTTCTCCTTATCCCGACAATCCCTGTAAAGAGTAGCCAGCCTCTGGTCATTCTGGAATGCATATTCTCCAGATCTCTGAACATTCTTCTCTAAAGTGTTTTCTTTGGACTCTAGGTCAGATGAGGGCTGTCAGGTGATCTGTGTATTTTCAGATATTGAAGCCCTAATTCAGTAAAGGGGCATGAATATGCCTTGTGCATGTGCAGCTAGAGATGAAGCAGTGGATCTAGAAGGCAAGGCATGGAAGATTGCCTGCAAATGCCAGCAACCAAAATAGAGGCCCAGAGCCAGTAGGGTCTTTGGGACTTCAGACAGGTTGTCCTTTACAATTGTGAGACATCACATTTCCATGAGCAAAGCCCTAGCCTGGGAGATATAGTGATGATAACCCAGATAAACACACACAGATCTCACTCTTGTATCTGCATGCCTCTTATACAGCTCTCCCATAGCAGAAGAGGCCGAATGGTCTTTCTAATACTCTGAGATACAGCTAACAAGAAACAGCACCTGCCCTCCACAAGGCTCCATCTCATTTGGCATATAGAGGGTGGTCAGGAAGTGAACTGACAGATAAGACTCTGTCTAGCTTGTTCTCAAAGTTCAGGCTTAAGACTCCCCATCTGTGGATGTCAACTCTCCCATCTCTCTACAGGATGTCTTCGGTGTCAACTTGTTTCTTCTTTTTCTCTTCACATGTTTCAGGTGATGCAAGGGAAAGCCTCCTCAAGCTTATTCATAGTTGGCAGGGTGAGGCTTAGATTCAGAGCCCTCAAACCAGGCCTCAGAAGCCAGGAGAAATAATAGCACAGCCCACAGAGATAATGTAGACATTCCAGGGGATTGCCTTCCTGTGTTTTCATGTGCATTCATTTCTCACAGTTTATGTCATTCTTTCTAAAAGGCCACCTTTTGGGAAGAACATTCTGACTCTGCCCCATCCATAGTTCACAGCTTTCTTACACAGAATCCCTTAGGAGGTTAGTTGAAAGGTGACCCTAAACTTTAAGAAAACTGTCCTCATGAACACACACACACACACACACACACACACACACAGAGAGAGAGAGAGAGAGAGAGAGAGAGAGAGAGAGAGAGAGAGAGAGAGAGAGGTTCATGATGAAGAAAGGATAAAACAGTGAAACTAGAAGGTAGGGTGTGAAGGATTGCCTTCAAGTCTCAGAACCTAGGAGGGAAGCTAGAAAATATTTATATCCTGATGCTTTCAGATAGCTTGGGCATGTGAACAATTAAATGTGAGAGAACACACCTCCATGTCTAGTCCCCAGCCCAGGAAAATACACAAAAGTCTAGTGCATGTGATTGCTACTCATCATACTGATCTGTCATGGAAGAGGTTTAGGTGTCTCTAACAGATTCTGAGATGCAGCAGCTGAAGGACTGCCTCTGCCCTGCAAACCACTTCATCACAGTCTAACCCTAGCACACTGAAAGATGTTCAGGAAGTGATTGGCAGATGAGACATTGTCCTAGCTGGTTCTGAAAGCTCAGGCCGTGGGTGTCAACTTTCCTATAGCTCTGTAGAGAAATGGGTGCTGATTTCCTCTTGCTCCCATAGCAATGCTTCAGGGGACCCAAGTGACAGTTTCCTCAGGCATGTTCACAGTTGCACAGGATAAAACTCAGCTTTGGAACACCCAAGCCTCTGGTTTCATAAATCAGGAGAAAAACAGCAGAGTCCACAAGCAGTCAGATGCTGTGGAGATGCCCAGATACCCTGCTAGGTCACTACCTTGTATGGCTGTAGATAGAGAAGACATATAGGTATAGATCATGGTCACCAGACTCAAGTCACCCAATTGACAGCCCCGACACCCAGAGCTGGCAGGAAAAAGACTCTATTTGTCTTAGTCCACTGGTTTTAACAGCTCTTTGCTGTACCAGAGAACTGCCTGACACCCACATCTTCTGGCTCAGAATCCGATGGGAGCACTGACAGGGAATGAGGGTCAGAGGAATTTCGCTGCACAGCCTGAGGACAAAAGGTCTTGGCCAGAAGCACTTTTCCCTCCCTGTGACTAGTGTCAGACAGCCACTGCACCTAAAGGAAACCACTGGAGGTGAAGTGCAGTGATGCCCTCCCATGAGCAGGGAACACCTCACTGGTCCCTCCATTTCTTTCTAATGGCCTCTTTACCCAGCCCCACAATAAGAATGAAAGCCAGGAGCTTCCAGCACAACAGCTATGCCTTTGAGAGCTCCTGGCTTTAAGGGCAGACAAACTATTGTGGAATCCTTGACTTTCAGGAATTATGATAAACAGGGAAATCTGTTTGCATCTCAGAGGCCCCAGCTCTTCTGCCCCATTACTGGAAGGCCCAGCTCAAACCCACCTCCTCCAGGAAGCTCCCTAGTGCCTGCCCAGAAATCACTGTTCCGTCTCCAGAACCATTAATTTCTCCATGTTTTACACTGAGACCAAAGTCCATTTTTCTTCTGCCTCTCTCTGGTCTTTCCATGATCTCCATTCTCCCTCCCAAATAGCCTGCTCAGCCTTGCCAACATGACTATGGGTGAGCCCTATAGGCACTGAACGAATAATCCACAGGCAGTTGGTGTCACCATAACACTAGTGACGTCATAGAAGAGCCCCAGGATACAAGAGAATTTCCAGGGAAGTGACTGCTGCTGATGTCACTGGGCACTGCTCTGACCTACATGCTAACTTGCTCTCCCAAAATTGACTAGAAGCTGAAGTTTCCTTTCCAAGAGTCTCTCCTGTGACACAAGGGAAACCCTTCAGCACCCCCTCCTACCAAAGCTAGAAATTTCTCTCTGCTTCATTAGGAGTAAAGTACTTTGGATGGATAGAGTTCATTGGGCCTTGGTATGGATAAGAAATCTTCATTAGGACCCAAGGGTCCCCCTAGGCAGGGGAGGAGATCTTCTGGATAGTAAACCTATCTCCAGCATCCATTTACTGTGTCCCATTGGCCAGTATCTTTCTTCCAGATCTTTAATTTTATGGCCATTGGATTATGTTTTCATATTGTGCATTCCTTGTGGAGGGAGCCTTCTATATATACATCCACATGTTTTCAGGAAGCCTCTCTTTTACAATTGCCAATTTTTTTTTTTGCAGTGGAAACTCCCTTGTTCTTGGCAACTTAGGTGGCCCAGCTGCAAGACATGCATAGAATTGTATTCCTACCTCTGTGTTCCTACCTCAAAAGATAAACTCCCACACACCCCCTTTCTCCAATACAACCAGACATGTAAAGTGGGCATCAGTAAGCAAAGGATAAGATGGAATTTGGGTTGCTGCTCTGTAGTCACATTAACTATAACTTCCTCCGTGTCTGTCTTCCTCAGTTCTCAGGTCCAGACGTGAAGATGAGAGAGGTTGAACCATGATCCTGTATTCATTCCAGACAAGACTCAGGAGGAGGGGCAGGGAGTGAAGGCCTGAGGTCCAATGAAACCAGAGGTAGTAGGGTGGTTTGTCCCTTTGGCTTCAATCGTTTGATCTCAGGTCATTTATTTGGACACATTTAATCACAGTATGACTTTGGAAAAAAGTTTCCTCATGAAAATTATCACAATTAAGCTTAAAGTACAACTACATTGAAACTCCCTTGCAAAGTACATGTCGTTTTCAAAGCACCTGTGACCTCTTTCATAAGGTAGGGTTCTACTGACTGAGAAAAATGCTCAGGATAAGGATCTAGTGAGGAAGAGTCTAGGATAAGCATGATAGTGAACTTTTTTGTGAAGTACATGGGGACATTTTCATAAGGATGGATTCTATTTATTGAGAAACAAAACTCAGGAGTCTGGGGAATTTGGGTGAAGCCTGACCCACCCTACAGATAGCAAAAAATCACCAAGTTGTTAAACCACATCCAATCCCAGCTTTCCAGCCAGAAATAGTTGTAAATCCCTTCCATCAAATAGAAAAGCCTGAGAGTTTAATATTCCTTGTTTCCCTAGTGCTACCTGTGAGCACCAGGACCTCATGCCTTGTTCATGCTGGTGGCTTTGTCAACTTCACAAGGTCTGGAATCCTCTGAGAGATGAGCCTCTGGCCATGCCTGTGTGGGGCTATTTTGATTATGTTACTTGTGGTGGGAAAACCCACCCACTATCGGTGGCACCCTTCACTAGGCTGGAATCCTGGACTGTACAAAAAGGAAAAGGGGAGGTGAGCACAAGCCTTCATCTCCCTTTGCTTCCTAACTGCAGAATCAATGTGACCAGCTGTCTCGATGCCTGATGCCATGACATCTCGGTCACAGTGGAATATATTCTAGAAATACGAGATAAAATAAAACCTTTCTCCCTTTCCTGGGGATGTTTTATCAGAGCAAAAAGAAAAAAAATAAAGAAAAGTTATAACGAGTCTTCATATTCTTCACGTACCATGACGGTCTTAGATTCTACCTATTGTGACATTCCTTTAGCCATCCCTTCCGTATTTGAAATTCCTGCACTCCCTTTTCTCAGAGCATTTATTTTAGAAAGCTTAAGACTGTATTTTCCCTTGGTCTCCTTTGGATGTAAATCTGTCAGCCTACCTGAAACCAGTTTATAGCTTAGGATGTGTTCCTACAAAACCAGAAGCTACCACTTTTCTAGAAATACTAATCCAATAGATTATTCTACTTTCATTATTTATGGAAGAGAGGGGACTTTATCATGTCTAATCACACCAACTAAGTTCCATTCTGATTATTTTCTGTTACTTGCTAAGTTATCCCAGTTTAAAAAAAAAAAAAAAAAAAACTTTTCCAGTCTCTTGGTTAGAGCAGGTACATTCAATGATTTATCCATATTTTATGATCATTTCACAGTAATGTGGAATTCAGTACCCTTTTTACCCCTTTGCACACAGTTTTTCTACATAGATTTGCTGTCTTTTTATTATGTCTCTTTGTCTGTGCTTCCAATTTTTTCAGATCATATTTATTCTCTAGGACCTAAAGGCATTTTATTAGAGTACAATACACTGCATTGAAATTATGTAGGAGAATGGAGGATTTTCACTTTGTTTTGCAATGTTTATTATTCAAAAAGCCTGCAAATTCAGATTAATCATTTTATCCTTCTTAAATTAGTCATTCTTTCTTACAGTACTAAATTTTGTTAATGAGTAATTGAGGGACTGGAGAAAGACCTACTGCTTTGCCTGGTAGTGAGCCAGGCATTCCTTTGGCTTTCAATCTTTACAAGTTCATTTGCAAAGGAAAAACAAATAAATCAGTTTTCTGTGAAATGTGTCTTGCTAAAAACAGTTTTCATTTACTTAAAAGACCAGAAGATTATATCATCTTCTGTATCACCAAGCAACTTCCCTCCAAATGCTTTTTAATATCACTGTCTATAGAAATCTCCGTAGCAGAGAATAAAACATTGAAGTCTATAAAAAAGTCTTTAAAAACTTCTTGACATGTACTGTCTGGTACTGCAAGGAAGTTTATAAGAAAGTTTATTCTTATGCTTATCAGGGACCAAATGTTTTCTTTTCAGGGTCAGGAAGAGGGAAGAGGGGGATCTGTGATTAGTATGTAAAATGAAAAAAAAATCTTAAAAAAAGGAAAATATGCAAAGTTAAAAAAAAGAACAGAAGCCACAAATGACATAAAATACCTTGGGGTAAAACTAATCAAGCAAGTGAAGGACCTATATGATAAGAACTTTAAGTCCCTGAAAAAAGAAATTGAAGATGTCAGAAAAGGGAAAGATCTCCCATGCTCATGGATAGGCAGG